AATAACAAAGTGTATTATCAGGACAGTGTAATGAAATAGATACAACATGAATTCATACTGAATAAATGACACAACTCAGAAAACTAACACCAAGTATTCATGTACGCCTGAGGATGACCCAGGTAAGGGTCAATATATGTAGTGCAGTCATTAACAGCAAAATAAAGCGGATGTTGACATGATAGTGTCTATCTTGTTTATTTTCTAAACTTATTGTTGAGTAAACTGGCTCAAAATCATACCCTTCTATAGTCCAAAACGGCAAAAGGTTTGCTACCTTTGATCTTGGTTATCCACAGTTGTTATATTGCTATCAGGCAACACAGAGGACAGAGCTTCTAGAGCCCCATGCTCTGTGGGTGGTAACTGCTGCCAAAGAGATGGGCACTTCTGAAGGGCAATAAACTCTTACATGCTCACTGTTCAGTAGCAGTGCTAGTGCCAAGAAACCACTGTACAGAAGCAAAGAAACACTATTTGTTGATTCACCTCAGGAACTTCACGATCACTGCTGGCCATAAATCAAAATCAAAATAATTGTCTTATTGTAAATTTCAAATAAAAAAATTTATAGTATGTAACAAAGTAAAAATTTTCCATGTAAGGTCTGCTTCACAAAACATCACTGACTGGGGCAGCAGCCTATGGTTTTGGAGGCTAGATGGGATTGTGGCAATTGTAACCATTGCAAGCACTTGTGTCTCTTCTGTAACTAGGTTTGGTATTGAGTTGACCTTGAAATCTCTGTGTGTGGAATCTTCATTTATATTGTGATGTCTCTGTCAAAAGTGTAGAAGAGCAAATCTGAAGATGATGGTTATAAACAAACAAACTCTGTGATTTTAGAATGCAAGCGAACTATACCAACCAAGTGACTGGTGCTTGTCGGCGAAGTTAGTGCCAATATTTGCGGATAGAGGGTGTCGAGTGGTTAGCGCAACAAATCCCCACAGCTGTTAATTTCGGTTTTCTAGATAGGAGACGCTATTTCCTTGAAATAGCTCCTCAGTTATCCTCACGGGGCTGAGTGCACCCCGTTCCAGACCCACTACTTCTCAGAAAAAATTTGGTAGCGCCGGAAATTGAACACGGACATCTGAATCTGTAGCCAGGAACTCTGACCACTAGACCACAGAGGCAGTTACATAATGGCCACATGTTTCAAGAAAAACTGGAAAACATATTTTTTAGTGAAGTGCATGGGAAAGGTTGTCTGTCTCATTTGCAATAAGGAGGTATCAGTGTCAAAAGAATACAAACACTTTATACAAAGGTAAGTCTGATGTGCTAGAAGTAAACCTAAAAGAAGATAAATTACCCTTATCTGCAACAGCAGCTTAAATGCTGTTGCTATTGAATCAAATGAAGCTACTTCACAAATTACTGCACAGAAATTGAAACCATTCACAAATGGTATGTCAACAGATAATGAAGGCAGTAGAAATACTGTGTCACAAAAAATGTCAGCATTTTAAAGCCATCAGTCTTTCTGCAAACACAGTAGCTGATACTGTGAATGATTTAGCAGAAGACACAAAGTATCAGCTTAAAGAAATGCATAAGATTTTGTGGTATATTCAACTGCAACTGATGAGATTACAGACACTGCAGGTATTGTACAGCATGCTGTTTTTATTCAAGGTGTCAATGAGGACTTTCAGTTACTGGTGGAACTTTCAGATCTGGTACCTGTGAAAGGAACAACAGATGCTAATTAAATTTCTTATGAATTGGAGAACCTTTTTAGCAAATATAAACTGTATATGGAAAATACTATGGAGTTTGTTGGGGCTCCAAGTATGATTGGCAAAAGTAACAGTGCTGCAAGAAAAAAAATGAGGGGATGACTTCTTTATTTACTCCAATTGTACCTTCATCAAAGTTTCAAGATGACACATGTAAATTATACCACTGATGAAACTGTGAATTTTATTTGCACAAGTGCCCTTAACCATCATGAATTTGTAGCTTTAATGGGGAAAAAAGAAAGCAAACACAGTAAAATATGAGGTCATGGGTTGGTTTTGCAACTTTTTTAATTACTGAAGGAGATCAAATTATTCATGGAAAAGAATAATAAAAGAACTGAAGAACTAGACAAGTGATCTAGAGTTCTATGTGGCTGTGACAGGTTGCATGGATACTCTTTTAACAAAGAGTTACAAGGCAAAGATAAGCCCATTACAGAGATATCTGGCAGCATCAAGTCTTTCAAAATTATGAATTTTGTTCACTTCCCACTTTTTCTTGAGCATATTCAAGAATTTTCAAAAAGCATTTTTCTGCTACGAGAGGAGCTAAATGAGCAATTCCAGGATGTCAGAATTAACGAACTGGAATTTATGTTGGTTGCAGTTCCTTTGAAGGTGAACACTGAGATGACTGAGAACATCTGAAAATGGAATTAGCCAATTTGTGATGTGATACTGCCTGAACCAAATGATTTATGAAAAATTTGCAAGATTGTTATTCTTATTTGCTAGAGGAAAAATTTCCTCTGCTCGGGTATTTTGTGTTAAGAATGGTTATAACGTTTGGCAGCATGTATGTGTGCGAAGAATTTTTCCCCTTGTAAATAACGATATGAAGAAAAGCCCATCTCAATGGACAGATAAAGTAAAGCTATCGCTTTACAGGCCATGGAGGTCCATAGGGTGGTGAGATGTCGAGGATCCTACATTTTCTAAACAATCGGCTCACAGATGGCAATGAGGTTGTCAGCATTAGGTGCCGGCCGCTCTTAACCCCCAGGTAGATTCCTGGAACTAATTTCTGTTAGAGGCTGAGTCGAGCCCAGGGCCACTGTGGGGCTAGAAGTATTAGGTCAATTGAAAAAAAAACAATGACCTCACTGGGAATTGAACCTGCGACCTCTGGACACATGACATCTGTGATCACAGTGGTTTTCAGTAATATCTCACCTTAAATAAAAATCTCCTCCCATTCCAAACAATGCCAGTTCTCCAGTCAATATACATGATAGCTAAAGTAAGATTTAATCAGTTAGTAATCTAACGATAATAGAATAAAATCCAAAACTCTCTCTTGAAGAATTTCTTGATGGGATTCTTGTACCAGATATGTGAGCATGAAAAGAATGAAAACGTACAACATATGTCAGTGAAGAGAGACTGCAGTGCAGCTATAAAATAAATAAATAAATAAATAATAAGTAGCAGCAGGAGTAGTGATAGTAACAGTGATGGTGGTAGTAATTTCAAGACACCATCAACTGTACGACTTGACTTAGCAATAGGTTTTCAGGAAAGAAGATATTAATCATTATTTAATGCATCCTTAATTTTCAGGACAAGCATAGGTGTAGCAATGAACACTGACTGATGTCTCTTCATTGCAGAGTGTTAGTTATACTTTTATTTCCAGCCTCCAAGACCCTATTAGGTGCTTCATACACTGTCACACGTAATGACATTTTCAAAAATCAAAATACACAACAGATAATTTCAGAATCTCCTTTGTTGTTGTCTCAGTGGCTATTGTCCCATGACTAATGTTATGGAGATAAAGATTTTCCTTGCTCTTTAGTCATATAAGATACCTTTTGTTGACATAAATTCTTAGATGCCATCAAACTTAAGACGCGCCCCAATTTCAGAAATTTTAAAATGTGGAGCAGGGAAGTGTCTTAGAATTGAGGAAATATGGTAATAAGGTAATGGACTGATTGAATACTGTGTTCAATTTTAAATAAATGACATGTGGCCTGCCAAAAATTTAAAAATTATCCATCTGCCCAATTCCAGATTTAAATTTGACACCCTTGTCAAAGCATTGGCTAAATAGGCCTGGTGAAGCTGTGACAGTCTAAGGAAACCACCAGTATCTACTAAATTATTTTCAGGAACAGAGAAAGCCTCAGATTGGATTATACTCGTATAATGGAAATGTGAATGTTATGATGGAAAGCTGCAAAAAGCATGACCTACTTATATTCCAACAGGCATGTCACGATTTTCTCACAAAATAATACATTCCTCTAGTCACACAGCTGCTCCATCCCTTGAGGGATCAGAAATTCTCATAGTGGTGACAAGGAACACTGTCTTCTGGGATGTGATGCTAAATAGTCTGGCTTTTGATGAATATGCTATTTGGAACTTAAGAACTGAAGAGTCCTACCCTGGAGATGGAGACAGTATGGCCCTCAATGACATTGGTAAGCATCATATCCCAAAAAATGGTATTCTTCCACTGCATTCCATGTTTGTACTTCTGAAAAAAGTTTTGAAGAGTTCTATATTCTGGGATATAACACCATGTAGGCTTGTGAAAGTCAACCAACTTCTGGAGGAATATACAACCCCACCTCCACTGTTCAGTTCTTACTCGGCTTACTCGTTGACCCTTAAGATGGTGAAACCTTGGTTGAGATTTCATGGACTAGATAGCATGATATCCCAGGAGAGAAGAACTTTTCACAGCTCCTGCTTCAATAACTTCAAAGTGCAACATATTGCTTTGCCCAGTGACAATGCAGGTTACAATTTTTCTCAGTGCATTTGTACACCCACATACAAGAAAGCATACGGCAGGTGAGAATAAGAGCAATTCAGAACTGAGGGGCAGACTTATGGATGAACACTGTAAAAAGGAACTGAGTTCTGTCCTCTAAAATGAGTAGTGATTCGCTAGAAGATGGGTAGTTTAAAGCTATTCTACATACAACACATAATCCATTTATTCATTTAACAACCATCAACAAAATAATCATAATTTGCATCAGTGGGTACTACATCTTCAAACTGTCAAGGAATGAGTTTTGTATTTCCAGTGTGGATAGTGCTTTTAGACCCCTGCTTTACAACAAAACTCAGAAACGAAACAAAACAAAAGGTTCCTGGCTTTGGACTGGAAGCTGTGTAGCATCTTGTAAATGTCAGACAGGTGCTTCTCACTCTGTTACTGCATTTTCTAAGGTGGATCATGCTCTTAGAGCCTCAGCTTTACCATAGAACTCGAAAGAATAACAGGTTCCTGACCTTAGTCTGGCAGCACTCTAGCATTTCGTGAATATCGCGCAGGCGCTCCTCACTCTGGTACTGCACTTTCTCTTCCATGTCACTAATGGTCTGCTTGAGATTCTCCACTTCATTCTGGTGTAGCTCTGTCAAGTCATTCACCTGTTCCTCCAGACGCTCACTACGAAATCGTTCTTCTTGTAGCGCTTGACTCATGAAAGTCACTTCTCGCTGAAAGGCCTGCTACAAAGATTGCATACCTCTAAGACAGAGAATTTTCTATTCAGTTTGTGCCTTAACAAACTATGAAGGCTCATAACTGTATTCACAGAAACCTACCTTTGGATTTTCTACTAAGCCACAATTTCAAAACATATTTCTATAGCAAATAATATAGCACTGTCACATGTTAGTGACTAGACATTGGGTTAGAATTAGTAATTGCATTTATTGCAAAATGTATAACTCGTCTCTTATATAAGACCAATATCCAAATGAAAAGTCATGAGTGGCACTGGGGCAGGTTTTCTCTGAGTACTTCGGTTTCCCCTGCCAATCTTCATTCCACCAACTGCTCCACAATCACCCTCACCTATCATCTGGGACTGGTAGAATAGGCCAGAAGTGGCCGTAGTACAACGGACTTAGTCCCACCCCACTAGAAATAAAAAAAATAGTTTAACCATCACACAACAAATATTTACACTTTTAATGTTTTACAATAGGCTTTTATTCTTGCTACATGTTTCAGTCGTACAAGACCACCATCAGGCAGTTACTATAGGGATACATTAGTTACTGAAATACCAATATGGATCCATAACCAGTGCAGTGCATCATATTATACAATAACAGAGTTTTCTTTTTGCTTCAAAGCTGTTAAGTATTACAATCAAAACAAGATGAAAAATAAATTAAGAATATAGAGAGTTTTGTAAATAATAGTTATGATATTACTTATTTACTTACTTATGGAGCTGAGCCCTTCTTGAGGACAAGCCATATCTGCAGCTACTCAAGAACTTCCCAGCATTTTATGGAACCCAAAGGTTCATTACCGTGTTCACAAGAGCCCTCCACTGCTCCCTATCCCAAGCCAGATCAATGCAATCCAAACAATCCCAACCTATCTCTCTAAGATCCATTTTAATATTGTCCACCTACCTACACCTTGGTCTTCCCAGTGGTGTCTGTCCTTCTGGCTTTCCCACCAACATCCTATATGCATTCCTCATACCCCTCATTCATGCTACATGGCCTGCCCACCTCATCTCATCCTCCTTAACTTGATCATTCTAATTATACTTGGAGAAGAGTACAAGTTATGAAGCTCCTCATTATGCAGGTTTCTTCAACCTCCTGTCACTTCATCCATCTTCGGTCCTAATATTCTCAACTCCCTGTTCGCAAACACCCTCAGTCTATCTTCCTCCTTTAATGTCAGAGACTAAGTTTCACACCCATACCACACCACGGGCAAAATTATAGTTTTGTATATTCTACTTTCTATGTTTTTGGACAGCAGACGAGAATACAAAAGGTTCTCGATGTCAGAGACCAAGTTTCACACCCACACAGAACCACTGGCAAAATTATAGTTTTGTACATTCTAATTTCCATGTTTTTGGACAGCAGACGAGAAGACAAAAGGTTCTGGACCGAATGGTAGCAACCATTACCCGAGTTCAATCTCCTCTTAAGTTCCTCCTGAATCAGGTTTTGATTTGTTATCGTTGTTTCCAAATAACTGAAGTGTGTCACATTTTCAAAACATCTGTTTTATATCGTTATGTCATGATTTTGTCCCGCATTTTGGTGATGAGACAGCAACATATACTTACTTTTCTCTCTGTTTACTTCTAGACCAACCTCCTTACTTGCATCAATTAAAGTTTGTGTTTTTCTTTATGGTATCTATATTATCACCCAGTAGATTCACATCATCGGCATAGATGAACAGCTGATGTGTCCCAATTAATTTCAGTCCACCTGGATTTCCTGGACCTTCCTAATGGCATATTCTAAAGCAAAGTTGAAAAGCAGTGACAATAAAGCATCTCCTTGTCTTAGACCATTCTGGATAGGAAATTTCTAAGACAAATGTTTACCTGTACAGACTTTACTATAAGTTTCATTCAAACATATTAATTATATTAAAATATGTAACGTATTAATACAATAAATTAGATTGTTCTTACTTTTCGTTGCAAGCTCATCAATTTTGTCTTTCAGATATTCTCTCGTTTTATTCCTGAAATGCCTGCTGGTTTCGCATCTTATATTGTTCAGATTATCCCTGTTCATTTCACTGGAATCCTGTAACCATTGCAATTTGGCTTGTTTTCTTTGGTCTAGTCATTTTGAGCGTCCTTCATCGAACCATGGCTTACGCTTCTTCAGTTCATAATAACCTAGACTCTCCTTGCAGAAATTTTGATATTTTCTCTAATAGTTTCCCAAGCTTTATTAACATCCACCACAGTGTCAAAGTTTTCCAAGGCCGCGAACCTATCCGAGATTTCAACACAACGCTGCTCTTAACCCTCTACCTAATTTAATTTCTTGAGGTTGAACCTCTCCATATGAACTATGTACGTTGTTTGTTTGCTCACAGCGAGTCTTTCCCTAACCTTTGCCACCACCAGGTAGTGATCAGTATCACAGTCTCCTGCCTGAATGATCACACATCAAGTATACTTGAATGCCATCTCCTATCTATCAAAATATGGTTGATTTGATTGTGTATCTTCCCATCAGGAGATGACCAAGGAAATTTATGGATGTTACGATGCGGGAACATTGTACTTTTGACAGTAAGATATTTTGATGTGGCAAAGTTTACTACTCTAACTCCATTATCATTACTAATTTCATGCAAACTCTCATTCCCAATTGTTGGTTTGAAAATGTCTTCCCTCCCTACTTTGGCATTGAACTCTCCTAGGAAAATGTTCATAGGGTACTTCGGGAATTTATCAAATACATGTTCTAGTTCTTCATAGAACCTGTCCTTTATGTCATCCATTTTATCTTCTATTGGGGCGTGAACCTTCATAACGATGATATCATACCAGCAACCTTTTAGTATTTTATATGATATCCTATCACTAACGAACTCTACCCTCTTAACTGCTGATATGATTATGTTATATATGAAAAAACCTGTACCCAATTAATGATTTTCATTCCTCTTTCAATAGAAAGATGTATATTCACATGCTGGTGTGATGCCACCTCCATCCCATCTGACCTCCTGTATCTCCCTTAAACTGATAAATGTGATGTATGCATTTTGCCTGGGTGTCTATATGTTCGATGTGGTCTAACTGTGCATTGGTTCGATACAGATACTTGTCTCTGGGCTCCACGACTGGGTTTACTACATAGAAAGCTTCTAACAACAAAGATCTACAATGACATAACTTGCCCAATTCTACACCGTAGCACTGGAACCTAGAATTAATTGGCATACATATTTTTACCACCCATACATATTTAAAAAATTAAGTATTTTTAATATTTAATATTTTTGTAATATATTCAACATTTATATCCCTAATATATCTTGGTACGTGGTATATATTTCATTTTTTATATATTTTATCTTTTGTCTTATGTTTAATCTTATTTTAATTGTAATACTTACCAGCTTGAGGCAAAAAGAATATTCTGTTTTTATATAATATGACGCATTGCACTCGTATGGATCCATGTTGGTAGTTCAATAACTAAATGTATTCCTATATTAACTGCCTGATGATGGTCTTGTANGAACAACCATTCCTATGTGGCGGTGCAGCGTGCGTTCTGTACTCACTTCGGAATTAAGCCCAGAGGTCTGGTTCCTGACCGGAAATCGATTTTTTCTGGGTAGAGAACTTTAGCACAACCGGGAGTGTGGTGAAAAAATCATCAGGACATCAAAGGACCGTTACAACACCAGAAAATGTGGAGGCAGTTCGACAGTCAATTTTGAGATCTCCAAGACGCTCCGCTCGCAAACATGCAGTCACCCTAGACATATCCAATCATTCAATGAGCCGAATTCTTCACGAACATCTTCATTTCCATCCCTATAAGATGGTTGTTGTGCAAGAATTGTCACCACATGATTTCCAGAACCAAATAATGGCGTGCGAAACGTTATTGGAAACTTTACCCCCTGATGCACTTGTTTTCTTTAGTGATGAGGCACATTTTCACCTATCCGGATATGTCAACAAGCAGAATATGCACTATTGGAGCGGTAATAATCCCAGAGAGCTCCATGAGAGGCCACTTCATAGTGATAAGGTGACAGTATGGTGTGCGTTGTTGAGAGTTGGGAGTTATTGGCCCTTATTTTTTTGAAGAAGATATTCATGCAGTTACTGTCAATTCACAGTGGTATGTGGACTTTTTCAAACCAGCTCTTGAAGAAATGCATCTAGGAAATGTCTGGTTCCAACAGGATGGTGCCACGGCCCACACAGCCCGAGCTTCAATGACAGTTTTGAGGGCAAAGTTCCCCGGATGGCTCGTCTTGCTTCGAGGTGACATCCCGTGGGCAGTGCACTCACCTGATCTAACGTCCTGTGATTTTTTATGGGGATACCTCAAGGTAGAGGTTTTTAAACATCGCCCCACAAACCTGCTTTAATTGAAGAATGTTATTGGCAGGAAGTAGCCCAAATTCCAGCGGACATTTTGGAACGTGCAGAGGAGAACTTCAGAAAACGGTTGCATCAGTGCATAGAGAATGGTGGCCACCACCTTCAAGATATTTTGTTTCAAACTAGATGACTTAAAACTTTAAAGTATGTTCTTTCATTAGCTAAATATAAATTTTGTCTATCAGCAATAATTTTTCTTTTATTCGCCTTCAAAAAAAGGAAGTTTCTGCGCCCCACCCTGTATATACAGCATGTCCCAGGAGGAATGGACCAAACTTCAGGAGGGTGTTCCTTATGTTAAAATATGCCGATATAACCCAAAACACCTATGTCCAAAGTTGAACGGTTACGGAGATAATGGCCCGAGAAAAGTGTGGTCTTCTGGCGGGTCCACACATTATACCTGTCAGCTGTGTTCTCTTATCTGTTTGTCCTTGAGTGTCTGATTCACACTAGCCGTAAGCTTTTGCGCTACCTACAGAGGCTACAGTGTACGTTGCGGCAGCGTCGTGAATGGTTAGTATATTATGTGTAGTTGTGCGGTGTTGCTGAAATGCCTTTTGTGTTTTCACACGGTGAATATTGTGATATGCATTTTGTGTATGGATTTTGCGGTGGCAATGCACGTGCTGCTGTTGAAGAGTACCAAAGGCGTTTTCCCGATCGAAGGATTCCATCTCGACGTGTATTTACGCGAATTCACCAGACATTGCGTGAGACTGGTTCTCTTCCGAGTGTTTCTGTGCAGTCGGAAAGGGAGGATGTACAAATGAGAAACACACGAGAGAACATTCTTGAAATGGTTCAGAGAAGTCCACGTCTGTCCACTCATAGAATGGCCTCTCGCATCGGCGTATCACGTATGCAGGTGTGGCGAACTTTACATGATGAAGAGCTGTATCCTTACCATGATCAAAGGGTACAACATCAGGAACCAGGCGACCATGCTCAGCATATGGATTTCAGCCACTGGATAATAGCTCATCCCGAACTGTTGAGCATCATTTTATTCAGTGATGAGGCATCGTTTACCCGGGACGGTGTAAATAATTTATGAAATATTCATACGTGGTCACATAATAATCCACATGAGATAATGGAAACGAAATTCCAAAAGAGATTTTCTGTGAACGTATGGTGTGGTGTGCTTGGGAACAGGTTGATCCTGTTGACAGGTTGACATTATCCATTGTCTTTTCTTTATCTAAAAACCCTCCTGTTTATTTTTTAAAACACAACATTTCAGAGACTGCATTCTGTCTCCGTCTTCAGGTAAAACCAACTCAGTTGAGCCCAATAGATAGAGGTAGTCCTATCTCTGGACACCTGTGTCAGCTTCAAGATGGGGTACATAAATCAAACACAGCACAAACCATCTGTGAGAAACTTTAGTTTCAGTAATTTAATGTGCTTTACTGTGGTGAAGTGTGCACAAATGGATAATCATGTTCAAAAACAACTGCACACATGTCAGTGATTAACAATCTGGATGCCTGCCCACATCTAGTACAGAAGAAAATACTGAATGAATCCATGCCATGATTTTGGATACCTGGCAGATGACTATCAATGAAATGGTGTATAATCTGTGCATCAGTGACAGTTCTGCTCATGACTCATATGAGGCCCGACTTAGATTTCATAAAGTCTGTGTACGATGGATTCCAAAACAACTCACAGGAGAACACAAGTGCAACCATTTGATAACCTGTAAAGGCCTATTGGACTGCTATCATAATGAAAGTGGCACTTTTTTAGATGCACTGTCAGTGGGGATTATGTGTAGATCTTCAAAAGATATTTCTTCATATGAATCCCACCCAGTGACAAGAAGACTATACACATATCAAATAAAGAGAACAGTTACTAATCTTCCATTACTTCATTATGTATATTATTCACTATGTTCATTCAAATTTTGGCACTGATTTGATATGTAGTTCAGAAACAATGACAATTTTTGTGACAGCATGTAAAATTCTGACATTCTCTATGATTTCTTTCCCACCAAAGGGTAAGCTTCAACTTTCCTGTATTGCCAACATGATGGGTCATAGAAAGTATACCACTCAAACTACAGTTATGCCAAGTGTAACACTTAAATTAAAGAATTCAGTTTATTCACAGGGGGAGAATGAGAATGAGGATTTCAATCTCACCCAAAAACTGACACATTTCTTGCAAACTGCTTTAATGGCCACAGTTGCTGTACAAACTGACTAAGAGTGTAGACTAATTTAATATCTTCATGTGCTATTAGGTACACACCAGGAAAGAGGAAAATCACATTTCATATAGGTTACATAACAGTCTGTGTACTTCTCCCCACATAATAAATAACTTCAGAAACAACTGATGAATTGTAACAAAACTTGGTATGAACATCACATCACTAGTGGCTACATCATCACTGTACTCTCTAATCTGCTACCATCGATACTACCACCATGCAGGGTATCTTAACTTCCAAAGTGGAATAAATCAGAGGTGCTGGACATGCAAAACTTGTATGGGGATAGATCATAAACACAGCAACAATATTTCACATGAAACATTTCTGTTATCAGTTATGAAGATGGTAGTAATTTGAAAAATCTTTATATTAGATCAGAGAAATTTAACACAGCTTAAATATGTACTATTAAAAATTATACACAGAAGTGTACTAACAGCAGTAACAACAACAGTAATAATATTATAGAGGTCTTGCTAGCCTCATTACAGAGAATGAAGCATTCACAGAAAACTAGATACTGTATTCTCGTTCTAAAAATTTTTGTTTCTACTTCTTATAAGTAGCAGTATACAATGTGCTTACCTTCACACTTTCCAATTCTTCCCTCAATCTGTCAATTTCTTCACGTCTTTCTTGCAGTTCGGTGAATATCGGTTCGAGACTGTATGTGTCTGGCAAATGGAGAGTGGCAGGATGGTGAGGTGAGGACTGATGAGTTACATTACCAGCTGGAATGCTTCCGCTAGTCACAGAACTACACTCTGAACCCTCCTCTGAAGCAAACTTCATAACACCAGCACTGGATGAAGCATGGGCAGAACCAAGACTGCAGGCACCAGGTAGGGTGGCACTGCCATGGTGGGTTTTGTCTTCATCAACTGACACATTATCACCATTCCCTAGACAAAGAAATACCATGTGAACCAGTGCAATGGAACAAAATTAAAGCTGCTGAGACCTAAGTTAAGGTTTAACAGGAACTGAGTAAAATGTTTGTGTTATCTGATGAACATTGAACCGATCTTTCAGAGGAACACATACCACCTGCTTGCTGCCTTATTCATCTTGATTTCTTGCTTGACTTACTCTTCAACCCAAAACGTTGACTGATTTCCATCCAACTACATATCATTACATCCCAGAAGATATATCTCAGCATTACTATCATTGTAAAAACCTCAAGTTCAACAAAATCTAGAGCGTTAAGAATGAATACATCTACCTTGTACATAAATAGCAAAACAAATACTGAAATATTGTGTAAATATTGAAACAATTTCTTTACTGAAAGCCATCACAACACAACAATAAATAATATATATTTGTAGTTTCAAGTAGTACTTTACTATATATTTCAGCTTTCAAGAAGTCATCTTCAGGTAAATACACTTAAAAACTTCTTTAGCTATTGAACTCTGTGCTAATTACACGATGTAGTACTAGATTTTCCAAATAGTATACAATAATATAAAAAATATAAAATTACTTGAAAGTAGAAGTCTTAAAATGAAAGTAGTTACATAATTAAAATACAGTTAAGAGTTGTACATATTATTATAGTTCAAAGTACATTATTATATTTCAGCATCCTGTTACACTCACACAATATATATGGACAAATACCGTCTTAAGTGCAACAATTTTATTGTAGTTTTTACTTCTTTTTCCTCCTCCACACTACATGTTTCGGCCCTAAATGGCCATCATCAGGTGTGTATCACTCACGTAACTGTTACACTGCTTGTTAAAAATGTAAAAATCCCAGTCTTTCTAATTGTATAAAATCTTTGTTAATCTACATGCGTCGATTTGATTTTTAAATTAGCACTTTTTAAACCTTAATTCAAGTTAAAATGTCTATAAGATCTTTGTTCTCTTTCTTTTTCAAATTAAAATTTTTCAGGGTACATGCCCTATATCTACGGTGCTGCAGCGGCCACTTCTTGTTTTTATCGCTGTTCATGTGTTGTCTGT